AAAATAGATAGACAGATATTAACTTTTTTTTATTTTACTTCTCTTGCCAGCTGGCATTGGGTTGACCAAATCTGAGAATTTGAAAAAAGCACTGTAAAGTGTGAAGTATTTAAATAAGACATTGTTAGTTATATAGATAATAAATTACAGACAAGACTGTCAAACTTTGTAACAAACCGTTGGTAAAACTTCTGTATCTAGATACGTATCGTATGGTGGCATCAATATCTAGGTATGTATGGTATTGACTACTGTGATGAGATATGCACCCCTAATCCTGATGTACAGATTAATTACACCATAGATAAAACACAGTTAAGAGATCATTTGTTTTGTTCATTTAAAACAAGTTTTTGGTGGCACCCTAATCAGTATTTTTATTATATAGTATATTTTTTGTGGTATTCAATATCAGTAGTAACAGAATAACTCTGTATATAAAAAAAATAAACTACTTTCTTGTAACTTACGCTTGAAGTTTCAATTAAATGTATTTGTTATTGACTTTCATCAATAGCCTTCAAATATAGCATATGATGTACTTAAAAGAACGATTTTGAAAATAAATAAGGGTTATATTGGGTTCATATTTTTGTCTTATGAGGGCACAATGTGAATGTAAAAGTATAAGATTTGAACAGGTACTGTTTAAATATCCATAGGCCCCCAGTGGCACAGCGGTATGTCTGCGGACTTACAACGCTAGAATCCGGGTTTCAATACCTGTGGTGGGCAGAGCACAGATAGCCCATTGTGTAGCTTTGTACTTAACTTCAAAACAAACAAATATCCAATGCAGTAAACCCTTATCTCAGGAAGTATGAAATGATTTGATATTTGTTTGTTATTTGTCTGGGTTGTTTGAATACAGTATACCTAACAAAATTATTCAATACACATGTAAAAAAAAATGTGCCTATTACACTGGAAAACCTTATTAGAATCTGAATCTAATGACCTAAAGTTCGAAAAAATCAGGTAATGCTGATGAAGTAGTATGTTCCAGACATGTTTAATTAAACATGT